GACTTGTTTTAATTGTCTTTAGCTTCAAGTTGAATTTGCATATGAGCAGTTGATGGTCTGTTCCACAATCAGCTCCTGGCCTGGTTTGGCTGAAGATATTGAGCTTTTCCACCGCCTCTTGCCACAGATGTAGTCAGTCAGAAAATATAGGCTGTCAAAGGAGGAAGCATTTAAATTGGACATCAGGGATACTTTCTAATGGTACAGTTATTTATGCTATCAAATCTGACCCCAAAGAAAACTTCAGTATAAAATTCCTCCCATAAAAAGATTTGAGAGGATATGACTTTGCAGTTACTGAAATAGTTTTTGTTTTTGTGTGTGTATATGTGTATTTAGCTCTAGTAGCATAGTGGCTAAGGCACTTGACTGCTAACCAGAAGGCTGGCAGTTCAAACCCACCAGCCACTCCTTGGAAGGATGATGGGGCAATCTACTTCTGCAGTGATACTGCCTCGGAAACCCAAGGAGGGGTCTCTCTGAGTCAGGCCTGACTCGACGGCACATAACAACAGTAACATGTGTATTTCTACATATTAGATCCTCAGTATGGACAATATTCCCAATTTTCAAGTCTCATTAAAAGTCAGCAATGAGAGACGGTTGTCTTTTATCATCTGTTATTTGACAATAAATGTGAAAAAGGAACTATGAGCATTAGAAAAGAATAGGTGAAAATTAATATTGTATGTATTAGTTATTTATGTGGCAAACCCAACAACATAAACTGAAAGCTATGAGAATTAATAAGAAATTTAGTTAAAGAGGCTAGGTCCAATTCTACACAAAGGAATCTATAGCTTTCATATAATCCAAACATAACCAGTTAGAAGTCATGTTACTGTTAGGTGTTGTTGAGTAGGTTCTGACTTATAATGACCCCACATGCAACAGAACAAAAACTGCCTAGTCCTGCACCGTCCTCACAATCACTACTGTGCTTGAGCCCAGTGTCACAGCCACTGTGTCATTCCATCTCATTAAGGATCTTCCTCTTCGTTGACTTCTGTACTACCAAGCATGATGTCCTTCTCCAGGGGCTGATTCCTCCTGATAATGTGACCAGAGTACAAGAAGCGAACTTATGGCCATTCTTACTTCTAGGAAGCATTCTGACTATACTTCATCGAGGCAGATTTGTTTGGCATGTTCAATGTTCTTCACCAACACAATAATTCAAAACCATCAATTCTTGGTCAGTCTTCCTTATTGATTGTCCACTTTTCACATGTATATAAAGCAATTAAAAATACCATGGCTTAGGTTAGGTGCATCTTATTCTTCAAAGTGACACTTTTGTTCTCTAAAACTTTAAGGAAGTTTTTTTTTTTTAATTGTGATTTGGGTGAAAGTTTACAGAGCAAATTCACTTTCCATACAGGAGCTTACATGCAGTTTGTTTCATGACTTTGACTACAATTTCGTACAATGCAACAGCTCCCCTCCCACTTCCTCCCCATAGTTACCTGTTCCCTGTGTCCTTCCCTCCCATGCACTGCTGCCCCCAGAGCTGTTTCCCTTTGCATATAAACCCCTTCTATTCTTCCATGATTGATATCTCCAAGGAGTGTATCTACCTAATGTAAATGTTCAACTCAGATGCCTGTCTTTTGTTTGGCTGGAAGCCACAGGAGTGGGTTCAATTCCAGACCTGAAAGGCAGCTAGGCCACATAGTCTCAGTGACATGTCACTGATAGCTGATAGACATCAGCTCTATCAGACCAGCAAACCTGGTCCCATTTCTTGAAAAAATGATTTTGAGTTTTGTTCCACATTGTTCTCCCACTCTATCCAGGATCTCCTACATAAATCCACCTCCAAGTGGTTGACAGTGGTAACCAGGCACCATCTCGTTCTTCTAGTCTCATAGTTGAATAGGCTTAGGATCGCATGGTGTGCCAGTTACTTAGACTAATATTTTCCATGCATCTTTGGTTTTCTTCATTCTTCTTTGTTTTAATTTTCTTCAGCTAGAATTTGCATATGAGGAATTAGTGGTCTGTTACACAGTCAGCTCCTAGCCTTGTTGTGACTGATAATATGGAACTTGTCTATTTCTTCTTTTCACAGATGTAGTCTATTTGATTCCTATGTATTCCATCTGGTGAGGTCCACAAGTATAGTTGCCATTTATGTTGTTGAAAAAGGTATTTGCAGTGAATAAGTTGTTGGTCTTGCAAAATTCTATCAAAATTCTATCTCCAGTGTCATTACTGTCCCCAAGGCCATATTTTCCAACTATCAATCTTTCTTTGTTTCCAACTTTCTCATTCCAGTCACCAGTAATTATCAATGTATCTTGATTGCATATTTGGTCAACTTCAGACTGCAGAAGTTGGTAAAACTCTTCAGTTTCTTCATCTTTGGCTTTAGTGGTTGGTACATAAATCTGAATAATAGTAGTATCAGCTAGTCTTCCTTGTAGGTATATGGTATTATCCTATCAATGACAGTATTGTACTTCAGGATAGATTTTGAAATGTTCTTTTTGATGATAAATGAAACGTTATTCCTCTTCAGTTTGTCATTCCCAACATAGTAGACCATGTGATTATATGATTCAAAATGGCCAATACCAGTCCATTTCAGTTTACTATTGCCTAAGATGTCAATATTTTTGCATTCCATTTCATTTTTTATAATTTCCAGTTTTTGTAGATTCATACTTCATACATTCCATGTTCCAATTTTTAATGGATGTTTGCAGCTGTTTCTTCTTGGTTCTAGTCATGCCACATCAGCAGATGAAA